GACTAATTTAATAACTATAGTTTGATTTTAAAAACATTGATGATACTTGGAACCTAATTAACCTTTAATAATATACTCCATCCATTTAAAAATGTAAGACATTTTTTGAGAAGTTGAATATTTAAAAATATAAAGTATTTTTAGTCTTTTAGTATGTAATCATTGCCTTTTTTTTTTTAAAAGTACCTCTATTAATAATGAATTTATATTTATTGTAAGATATTTAATAAATAAATATAAAAAGATAGAGTTGGTTTGAAAGTAGATAACTATTTTATTGGAAGATGAGATTTAGTTAAAAATGTTTTACATTTTTAAATGGAAGGAGTAATTATATTATATCATATTTTATAACTTGTATATAAAATAAATACACGCAAAATACTAGTAGATTATATCCAAGACTCCATCAAATATGGATGAGACAAAAAGGATACAAGCAAATTACAACGTTTGAATCTAGTTTATATATATATATATATATATATATAAATGTTGTTGCTCCAGTGAACCAAGGTGTGTTTGTGGTCTTTTGCTTGACTTGGGCGTGCTAGAGGAATTAATTCTCAAATGCTATGATAAAATATGGCTACTTAATTGAACAATGAATTTCAAGGTTCTTTACCATAATTTTTTTAGACGTAGGTCTTAAACAAATGAAAGATAAAAAAAAATAGAGATAAAGAAAATGGAAGATTATTTGTATGATGACGATAGGCATAATACTGCAAATAAGCTCCCTCCATACTGTTTGATACTATCAAGTATCAAAGCATAATTAACATGATTGAGTGAGAAGAGATATGCTCGAAACCATTATAATTAGTGGTGATAAAAATATTTTATTTAGTATTAATTAAATACCCTAAACTAAGGCAAGAAGACAAGCTTTTTGTTTATCATTATACCTTTGTTAAGTAAAATAAAAGGAAAATGCTATTTGGGCCTTTTAATTATAAGAGAAAATTGTTGACATTTTTCTCCCTTGAATGCATGATCCTATTGAGATTGATGACTTTAACGTACTATATTAATAGACTTCTTTTAGATCGAATAATGAACCATTCCCTTATAAGAAACTCAAATGTCATTATCTCAAAAACAAATTTGTTTTTTTTTTTTGCATATATATATATATATATAAGGATAATTAAGCAAATTAACTCATGAACTTTAGATCCAATAACATATAGATCCTGAATTTATTTGTTGTGTAAATTATTCTCTTAATTTTTTAAAAATAGTACAATTTGGCTCTTACCATTAATAAAAATTAACTTTGATCGTTAGTTAAATAAAAAAATGATAGAAAAAGACTTTAAAAATTATATAAAAGGACAAAAAATTACAGTAAGGGACCCATAAATTACAAAACAAGGAATTAAAAATTACAGTCAAGGAAAAAAAATTTTTGTCATTTTTTGTAATTTTTTAGGTTATTTTATGGTCAGCAAACGATCAAAGTTAGCAAAGGCCAAATTGCACCATTTTTAAAAGTTGGGTAACTAATTTATATAATAAACAAGTTCATGTTCATGGTACTACTGGATCTAAAGTTTATAGGATAATTTACTCATTTACTTTATAAAAAATTTGAACATTTTTTCATTTGGTAGAATAAAGTGATTTTTTTTCTATCATTCATATATCCCAAATATTTCATTTTTGATGAAACTATGAAATTCAATACTGACTTTTATTTTTTACCAATTATTTCTCCAATCCTTTTTATAAAACCATGTTACGTACTTATTTTCTGGAGGTTAATGAAATGAGTTAGAGCTGGTTAAATAATAAAAAAATTTATAAAAAAAAATATCACTCAAAGACTGTTGAAGCTATTTAATATTAAACAATTATCAAAGATTTTAAAATATCACTATGGGATCATAGAGTTAATTTGAAAATAATTTTAGATTGAAAAAAAACTACAACACCCCTACTTTTCATGTTCTATATTTTAAAACTTGTCAACTAACGAATGATTTCTTATTAAATATGAATAGATACTTATTAATTAAAGAATTACTACTTGTTGAAATATGATATACACTCATCTCTTCCCACAATGAAGTTCTTTCAAATTTTTAAACTTTTCAATTAGCAAATGACTTATTATTAAATAGAAATGGATACTTGTTAATTAATAAATGGTTTTGCTTGTTGAAATATGATCTACACTATCCCTTCTCACAACAAAATTCTTTTATATTCTTGAACTTGTCAATTAACAAATAAATTATTAATACTTATTAATTAATTAATGATTACATATTTACACATGATTTACACTTATCCCTTCCTGTAACCAAAATCTTTCATATTTTTGAACTTGTTAATTAAAAAGTGACTTCTTTTTAAATATAAATGAATACTTGTTAACTGAAAAATGACTACTTGTTAATTAAAAAGAAAGGCAAGGATATTATAGTATTTTTTCATCTAAAATTATTTTCAAATCAGTTCCTTGATCTTGTAATGATATTTCAAAATTTTTTTATCATTAATTGATATTAAATACTCTCAACGGTTCTTGCATGATATTTTTTTATAACTACCTAAAATTATAAAGAAATGATGACAATTTTGAAAATTAGTTATAAATGTTTCATTAATTCGTATGAGGGATCATGTATTAAATATCAATTAATAGTACCTTGTAAATAGTTAGAGTTGAGAAATTAAACTATTAACTTTAGCTCTTATTAATTTCTTTAAATTATTCTCTTGCCACCCATTTGATTGATAGAAATGATAAGAATTAAATGAATTGAAATTCAAAAAAAAAACTAAATCATTACTCTCCTTAAAATAAGCATGATAAAACTCATTATTCCTCTAAAAACTTTATAAATCATGACTTACAATCCTATAAATTAAATTACCTTTCTTCTTTTAATTTCTCACATGTATATTCCTATTATAGAAATCTCTCTAAATTACCCTCATTCCTTATGAATGTGATTTACCTATATGCCCTTCCATATTTTGATCATCTTACTTTTATTTTTATTATTTCAATCTAATATATTCAATTATTTTCGAACAACCAAGCGGAATCTTATTGATCGGATTCATACTTCATAGCCAAACTCAAAAGCTCTTTTTTTTTTAAATGAACTTGATATTATTACATTATATATATGTATATCCAAACTTTAAATAATAAATGAATATAATTTTAAATTCAAGATAAGTAATGAAAATCAGAGCTTTAAAGTAAAACTATATGTTTTGAAGTCTAAATTTAATCTAAAGATATAAAATTTCTTTAATTCTTTTCAAAAATATAAACTAAAACAAATAGTTTAAGTTCAAACTTTCTTTTCTAAAAGTTTACACCGCCAAGCTCAAAAGTTTATAGAGAGAATTTCATTTAAGAACAATAAATGTAACATACTTTTAAATTAGGCCTTATACAATATACATGAGCAGACTGCTGGTGATAAGTTAAAGGAAAGTGAGGACGAATGATGTCAAGTCATCATGTCCCTTATGCGTTGTGCAACACACATGTTACAACAATCAGGATAAAGGATTGTAATCTCGCAAGGGTGAGCTAACTCCAAAAACCCATCCTTAGTTCGAATTGTAAGATGCAACTCACCTGCATGAACTAAAATTGCCAATAATCATCGGTCAACTGCATGACATTGAATTTGTTCCCAAACCTTGTACATACCACCCATCACACTATGGGAGCTAGCCAAACCTAAATTTGTTACCTTAACTACAAGGAGGGGGATGCTGAAGGCAAGGCTAATGACTGGAGTGAAGCTGTAACAAGGTAGTCGTACTTGAAGGTGTGGCTGGATCACCTCCTTTTCAAATATTGGGCCTAAATTGGAATAAAATTTTAAAACAAAATGACTAAAATATCATTTTTCCAATATACTGCTTTACAAGTAAGACAAAAAAATTTAAAATTTTCCCTCCACTCCCCTTTCCTCCAACCAAACATAGGGTTAATAGACAAATAGCAAAATGACAATACTTACACAATTAACTTTATATACTTATATATCCAATCAAATCATAACAGGTGGCTCTTAATGTATTAATTAATAAAATTAATAATATGAATTTATTATAGAATAAATAATCAATAAAATCTACACATGCCTTGATTTAATTGAAAATATACAAGTTGTTTGGGTCTAAAACTAAACATCAAGCCCAAAATCATGAAGAAGGAAAACTAAAATGAGAGGCCTAATACGCAAATGAAAACAAGGCTTGGTTTATTTCTAGAAGAAGTTTCGTGCCAAGCATGTACTCAAAAGCTTGGCCCTTAAAACTCAAAATGACTAGATGTTGAAGACTATTAAAAGAATATGAGATTCTTATTTGACGTGTTATGAATCTCACAAGGCCGTGCTTAATGATCACATATATTTTACATATGAGTTTTGGTTCTTTGGGCACAACGATATCAGGCTTATGACTATAAAATGGGCTCAACTAACATAATTTAGGACACATAATCTACACCAAAAACAAACTTAGACTTATTTTTTGAATTCAATTTACCTTATATTCTACAATTAAGCTTAGGTTTTAGCTTCACAAATTGTAATAATTGCAACTTCGTATGTTATCTTTCATTAATCAAAAATATTTTTACAGTAGTTTCTTTACATTTTTGCATCTAAAAGAAAGCCTAGAGACCTTTTATTTACCTTTAAAACTTCATGTCTTTAGCATGCTTGACATTTTGTTGTTGAAACACAACAATTTATTTGTTATTAAGTATATAATATTAAATATATAAGTTTTTTTCATGTCAAGGAGCAAGATTTTTACACTTAATTTTACACATTTTGTATTCTTATATCAATTAAATTATAACAAAATATCCCGGAGGCGGAGAACCAGTGTCATTGGCCAAGGACAAAAATATCGAACGTGTTTTGGAATTTCACTTTTTCAAGGGTTCACACGCACGTGTGTTTACATTTTTACCGGGCGCAAACATTTATAAGCGGCGTCGCCAAGGATCGGATCTGGATCAATCACCACTGACCCAGTAAATAGTAACCAGTACCTGAAGCCCCGTTCTCCCTCCCTTGAAAATCTTATACTCCCTCCGATGCAAAATTCCAGCTCGGTTTCTCCGGCGCCGCCCACATGTGCCGAGACCACTGTGACTCCAATCAATCGTGCTCTGGATTCGAATATGATCGCGGATCCAAGGGTTGCTCTTCAGAACCTCTCGACGGTTCGAATGAGAATGGGTTCTCTACAAAGCTTTCTATCTGAATCTATCACCACCAAAGCTTTAGTCAGCGAGGACCAGATGGACATGGTGTCTAACGAGATCGTCTCTGCCGTTCACCAGATTATCGTCAACGGCGCCGCCCTTGTCTCCTACTCCCAGAATTTGACGGCCGCCGGCGCGCCGCCATCAACGGCCTCAGGAGACTTACCAGAGCCACCAGATACGGTATATTCGATGAGGCAAGGGTTGAATTATTCTGGTACTGAGAAAGGCAATTTGAAAATTGAGGTCATGGACGATGAAGAAGCGAAGGATGGTGACGAAAATTGTGTGATCGTGGAGCTCGACGCCGTTGAATTGCTGGCGGAGCACGTTCATTTCTGTGAAATCTGCGGGAAAGGATTCAGGCGTGACGCGAATTTGCGAATGCATATGCGTGCCCATGGAAACCAATTCAAAACCCCCGAAGCGTTGGCGAAGAAACCCTCTGATAAATTGGACGTCGCTCGTGGTGGTAAAACGGTGCGATTCTCTTGCCCATTCGAAGGTTGCAATCGGAACAAGCTGCACAAGAAATTCCGGCCTCTGAAATCGGTCATTTGCGTGAAGAACCACTTCAAAAGAAGCCATTGTCCGAAAACGTATTCCTGCAATCGGTGCCACAAGAAGAATTTCTCGGTGCTTTCGGATCTGAAGAGCCATTTGAAGCATTGTGGGGAGGCAAAGTGGAAGTGTTCCTGTGGGACCACCTTTACAAGGAAAGACAAATTGTTCGGCCACATAGCTCTGTTTGATGGGCATATGCCAGCTCTTGCAGGGGATGAAGAAGAGAAAGGGAATCAAATTGTTGATATGAATATAATGTTACAGGAAGAAGAACAAGAAACAGGGCTAAATTATTTGGATGAGCAATTACCAGAAGGATTTTTTGACGACTTAGATGAATTTGGCCCGATGATTCTCTAACACTGCAATTTATGGAGGAATTTCCAGAAACTTATGAAACTTGCAGGTAACCAACCACATAGTATTCTTTGATAAATTGATCTTTATTACTACTCGTAGCATAGAAATTTTTGGGCATGTAACGTTGATTCTGTTTTCTATTCCCTTGTCAAATTCTGTTGTATGAGAACATTTTAATAAGCTCTCTTGAGTAGTTGCCTTTAATTGATTATACATGACACTCTATCTCTTGAGTCTTTTCGAGAGAGTTTTTTTTTCTTTAGGACTTGGAAATCTAGTGTACATCAATTCCTCAATCTTACATACTTTCCCTCTTACTAAGAGCAGATATGTTTTGCCAGATGATTCATCTATGCACTGTGTTTGGAGAAGTTTAAAAATGGAATTTTATGGATGCTATACAGTACTGCATGCCTGTTTCTGTTTTGAACACTCACATTCACACGCTATTTGCTGCAATTTGATAGCTTCCCTGTTGTTTATAACCCAACCAGTGAATGTATTGTGAACAATATACTGTATTCTTAATTTTCCTTTTACTTTTCCCTATCACTCCCATTACATCCATATATACATACAAAGCACAAAGAGGCTCACGCACGTATAGCACATCCGGGCGCGTGTTCACACATAGGTAACATGATAATGCAACTTTTAGTCTTCTTTTATATCTAGGAGAGTTTTTTACATGATTGTTCATATTTAATTTTTTATCACTTCAGTTCTTAACATTTCATAAAATTATTTAAGTGGTTCTTTATATTATAAAAAAAATAACACCATTAAATTACGTTGACACAGCGACATGGCTAATGAAATGATGTGACAACCATGTAGGTTAATGATATGAGAAGCAAGAATGCTAACTTGAACAAGGGGAAAAAAAACAAAATGTTTAAGAAAAAACCATGTAGGTTAAATTAAGAAGAGTTAATGAATATTCTAAACCTCAAATTCTTAAAATGTGTAAAAATGCCTAAATCAGTTGGAAAAAACTATCATTATTTTTTAGAGTTAAGATAAGTGTCATATCAACATGTGACTAGGCCACAACTACAAAAGTAATAGCCATTTGCTCCAAATTAACGGCGAGAATTTAGGTATTCAGAATTTAAAAATTAATTAAAGTTTATACATATTTCAAGAGTTTAGGGTTCAAAATATTATTCCCATAATAGTTTAAGGTTTAGAATATTCATGAACTCAATTAATAATTATAAAATAGTAAAATCAATAGCATATCAACACATAGGGTTAGGAGGTTTGGCTTATGTGAATTAATCGATGCATGTGTATGTTTCATGTCAAAGTTGTCTTGCACAATCTTAAAAGATTAGCTCGATAGCTAAAACAAATATAAGGAGTGAAATGATAGAAATTAAACTTGATGAACTAAATTAATAACTTTATCAAACATAAGAAATTAATGCATTATAATTTATACACGCGTGCATGCATGAATATATATGTATGTATGTATGTATGTATGTATGAAAATGCCCATCATATGCTGAAGTGCAGTCATCAAAACTAGAACTCGTTGCAGTTGAAAATATCGTCACTCGTATGCAGAAATAGTTGCACTCAAAATTTCAAGAGACGCTCTACCATTCACACCTTAGCCTAATAGTTCACTCAAAACCTTAAAAACTACGAAGTTACGAGGACGGAAATTGATAAGCGTATTAAATCCTAGTAGCTGATCAATAAACCAAAGATATTTGTATCTATGATGCCAAATTCAAATCTATAACCAAATATCTTTTGACATATTTAGTAAACATGGGGTATAAGAGTTTTATTTGAATTAAACTATCCATGTTTATCTTATATATTAAAAATGTTATTTAAGTACTATTTCATTAGTATAAAAAAACACTTTCATATAACTTTTTACTTCTGTTATAAAATAGTCGATATGAAAAGTATATTACAAGTAATATTTTTGTAAATAAGTTGTTCAATTATACGTCAATTATTTAAAGAACTGATATTGCATTTCTACATCTACTGCTTAATAAGCCGATTTAAAAAGTTAGCCGTATTTTTTTTGAAAAAAAATTGTGAATCCCTCCCTCACTGTCAATTCTCTTCTACCCCAACACTCTCATTTTTAAACCTTAGATCCTCAATGGCCAATGTCGTAGCTGTGCAAATATAAATTATTGTATGAATTTGGTCCCTGTTGCATTTAATTTTTGTTTGCCTACTCAGTTTCAAGTTGCATATATAACTGACTAACTGTATTCTTAAATAAATTAAACTAGCATTGCCACCTTGCTCTCTCATGTTTAGTCAATTCATGTTGCGTGCTTAAGGTAGTGACATGACCCTTTTTTTTGCTTCCCCAATTTTTGTCCTCCATGTTTGCCATGCAATGAGGATATCAATCTTATTCTGATGAGCCTTTTCATTATTTTTGCTAAGGATGATTCAATCATCCTTATAAAAAGTGCCACTTTTTATACTACCTATTTCTATACTCTGTCAAAAATGGTTTAAAAAGTCAAGTGTCATGCAGTGAACCAAAATATTGCAATTACAAGTGTCTTGCTGTAATGCATTATTACAGGTGTCTTGTAAGTGTTGTTTTATAATATTAAGAAGCATGTATGGCCTAATATGTTATATATATATATATATATAATCATAATGTTGTGATGAATGATTAGTTAGTTATGATTGTTACGGTGAAAGCAATCATGCATACCACGAAAAAGAGATTGCACACATTAGTTAATGAATATATAGATTATGACCACTTAAGTATAAAGTAAAAAATTTGAATATGTGTAAATATAAAAAAAATCTTTAGAAAAATTAGTTTGGTAATAATCAAATCTCATTAAACAGTACTAGGGTTAAAGGGAAAATTAACCCCTAATCTATAGGTCAAAGAATGTCCACAACATTAAATTCATTTTTAATGTATTGCTCCTCTTCAACTTTTAAAAATGATGCAATAAGGCTCCTATCATTACAAAGTCAACTTTAATTATTAGTTAATTAGAATAATATAAAATTAATTACCTAAAAAAATAATTGCAAAGTACCGATATCTTGGTCATTTTATGTAATTTTTTGAGTCATTTTATATAATTTTGAGGTTTTTTTTGTCATTTTTCAATAAATTAAACGTCAAAATTAACTTTTATTAACAATAAAAACAATATCATACCATTTTTAAAAATTAAAAGCAAATATTGTAAAAAAAATAAGTTTAGAATATAAGATGTTAATTATTGAACATATAATTCAAGGGTCAATTTATCATTTAACCCACTACTAATATATATATATATATATATATAGTTTGCTTGAAAGAGCCAAAACCTTTATTCATATTGATACTAATATATCCTTTCTCTGATCAAATGTAAGCCAGGTACAGTGTTCTCTTTGATGGCATGCCAAGGCAATGGTGCTACTAATGCTTAGTAGCTGTTGGTAGCAAAGGGATGGAGCCCAATGGGTGGTTGGTGACAGCTCCTTCCTTCTTGACTAAGTTGTTGTTGGCTAATTTGTCTGAAATAAGGATGAATTGTTCGAATGTTGAGTCTATTAATTTTGCCAGATTTGGTATTGGTTAATTCTTGTATTTTTTATGATTGATTTTTTTTTGTCGTTATTTGTTTTTTGGTTAGTTTTATGTGTTAGGTTATATCTTGATCTTTTTGAGTATTTTTTTTTGGCTTTGGCTATTAATGTGTGTAATTGTTTTTGGGTGGTTAATAAAATGGACTGTGTTTTTTTTTTTTTTTTGGGCAAGGGTGGAGGGACTTCAAGTTCAAGTTCTGCAAGAGGCACTTTTATTTATTGATTATCAACTATGTGTATCCATAACTTATGTTTTATGTTTGTATCCCCAAGTACTCTCATCGAAATTACATAGTTGCATTTATACACACGAAAAAATTAAGATTGAATGTAGCATTGATGAAGTGTCAATTGAATGGAAATAGTACCAAGCAAAGTCAGAGTTTTTTCAGTAATAGAAATGGAGAGAGAGAGATAGAGAAACGAAGATATCAGACATTTGTTGGGTTAACGTACATGTTATGTAATTTTAGATGAAGCTATACTCTGTCGAAAGTGAATTAGTTGGCTTTTTAGTTATTTATGTATTTTAGCTTGAGAAGATTTAGAATATTAAATAAACTAATTAGTTAATTTGCTATTTTGAAAAGATTTAATGCGGATTTTTTTCCTACTAAAAAAAATTACAATGGGTTTGGATGTATGAGAATTGTTTGCTAAAAAAGGATGTACGAGAATTGGATTTAATTTGGAATTTGAACATATAAAAGTTTTGGATTTGCATTTACTTACAAATCTAAATTCATATTTTATTATAACTTTTTTGTAATATTAATTTTTTTTAAACTCTAGTTATTTAAAATTTCACACATTCCAACTCTCATTTTCTTCACTATTAGTAACTCTTTTATTCTCGCCACTCCTCTCATATCTCATTCTCATCTTTCACAAATTAAATAATAGATGTAAACTTGTAAATTTTAATTTTCCATTCTTGCTTTGAATATCAGTTTGTCTCTTTTTTATCTTTTTTCTTTTTTTATATTATCCAAACAAAAAATTTTAAATACATAAATTTTAAATGTAAGATTTTAAATTTAAGATTTAAATTCAAATATAAATATCAATCCAAACCATAACTTAAAAAGAATGTGCCCTTGAACTTTTTGCATAGAGTCTAAGGATATCTTGAATTCAATTTTGAGTCATTTTTGCCCTTGGACTTTTAAAATTTGACACCCTATTATCTTGCCGTTCATGTGCCACTTGTTGATCATTATTTGCTTAATTGAATGCGTTTTGTTAACTTTGTTTTGGGTCACATGACATACAAGTGAATTCCCGATCAAAATTAAATAGGATTTTTTTGCTTTAAAAGTATTCGCTTAAAGATCTTTAGTGTCCTAAACTTAATTTTTGGATCATTTCTCCTCTTAAATGTTAAAAAACTTAGCCATACATATTCTAAATGTGTCTGCTTGGATGTCATGTGACTTTAAAATAGTTAATAAAATGTGTCTAGCAAAATAGATGATGTTTAATAAATGACATGCGAATAATAGGACAACGAGGTATCGAAGTTTAAAAGTTCAACATAAAAACAAGGAAAAATAATAATAAAATTTTTTTAAATTATATAAATGACAATCTGATCATTCAAAATATCATAATTTTATTAAAGTCCTTAAGTACCTATTTGTCAATAAATTTTAAATTGAAAAAATTATTTTATTCTTACTAACAAGTTGTTATTTTCTATTTAATTCTAAAAATTTTTTAAAGAAAAGTTGTAATTCTTTAAACAAAAATTGTGAATGATGTTTATTATTTTTAGAACTTATTTTTTAATAATATAAATTATATTTAATAAATTGTGATTTCTTGTTCAACTTTTGCGATTCATATAATAAAAGTTATCATTTTTTAAGTAAAAGTTGTGATTGAGACTTGCTTTTCTATAATAAAAATTTCACTTAATAAGTTGTGGTTTTTTATTAAACTTTTATCATTTATAGGATAAAAGTTGTGATTCTTTAAATAAAAGTTATGATTGAGGTTTGTTATTTTTTTAGAGCTAGTAATTTGGGCCAAGCCCAATGGGCCAACCCGAACCTGCCCTAAAATTTTAAGGCCAAGCCCGAATAAAAAAAATATTTTTTTAATGTTTGGGCTTATTCGAGTAACCTGAATAAGCCCGAATACCTGCATTTTTTTTTTGAGTTTCTTACTTTCTTAATACTCTACCTCTGC